AAAAATAAAATAAACTTATTATAATATATTTTAGTGTTTTAGTAGGAGGGGTGTAGAAAATTTAGGGTCAAATACATAGCAGGGGGTGGGGTTAGAAAACCCCACTACACAAAAAGTTAGTATAGATATATATATATATAATATAAGAATCTAAATATATATATATATATAAAGTAATTTGTAAATAATATATAATAAATTAATATAATATATTGTAATATATAAAATTAAAAGTATAAAATAATAAAGTAACATAAAAATAATAAAATAATATATATTTTTTTAAGATAAATATATAAAATAAAACAAAATTAATAAAATATAAATATATAATTAAATGAGTTGATGTTTATGACAAAAAATGATTGGCACAATTTTCAAGACAATCACCACCCCTACTAAGGGGGTGCCATTAGCACTCCCCTTTTATTTCTATTGAAATATAGAGTAATTATGTTTTTCATCAATGTAGTTTGTCAAAAATTACAGATTTCGTCCTTGTGGTTTTAAAATTGCGATTTTTGTTCCTATAGTTTGTAATTCATTTCTATTTTCGTTCCTAAAGCTAACGACTATTTTTAAGTATGAGAGATTAAAATAGAAATGAATTGTAAAACAAATGAACGAAAAAAGCAATAAATTTTTAAACAATCAATTATAAAATATGGAAATAAAAATGGTAATTTTAAAAGAACAAATTGCATGAAAAAACAAGCTACTTTAACTTGATTCCTATTTTGGGTAATGTACTTTTAGAACTTTCATTTTAGTATCTAAGATATAAAGTTTTAAACTTTTAAGCACCTAGGTAACCGATTGAAGCATTAACCAGTTATCATGCTGATCTGACGAGTGATATGACATCCAACTCAGTATTATTCGTTAACGTGGTTAGTGACAGAGATTTTTTTAATCTAAAATTAGCCTTGAACCTATTATCCGAATACTTAAATGTTTAAAACTTTACATCTTAGGTACCAAAATAAAAGTTCTAAAAATATGTTACCCAAAATATAAATCAAGTTAAAATACCCTAATAAAAAATATAATACGGTAAAACAAGAGCAATAAAGCAATCATGCCTACACTTGAATAAATGTACCAAAAACATGCAAGCATTAAAGCCCTCAACCTATGCCTCTATCTCCATTTCCACCCCTAAACTTCCAATCTTCAAAATTTTGCCCCCAAAATTCTTACGTATCAACCGGCCTAAAAAACGATCGATGGGTCTATGGTCACCCATCAAAATCGACTATACCGAAAAAGAAATGAACCAACGAATATCGAACCCGTCCAAAAATATCACATAAACTTCAGATGCACCTTTTCGGCGAGCACAAAGTGGGTCCTATAGACTCATTTATCTTCTGCCCGATTTTCTCAAGCTCGTCGTCATCACTATCGACTTTACTCGGATTAGATCGGTTCTGGTGAGCCCGACGTCTCAGAAGATAGACGTTGAAATAATAGCTCACGAGAACCGGTCTAGTTTTGTTCTTGAAATAGGTCGTAAGTTCGTCCCAAAAACTCGTACCCGAAGACTTGGGGTTCGACTTTATTATCTTCGCAAACTTCTTTTCTTCATGTCGAGTCCATTTGCTCGAAACTTCTTCGCCCATTTTATCGAATTTCCATTTCGCAAAAGCCGAACCGAGCTCGAGCTTCACCCTGGATCGTTTCTCAGCAATATGCAACCGAACGCATTCTAACGAGCCCACGAATTCGCAGCCACACGAGCCTTGTCTTCCTTTTCCCATTTGTTCCCTTTCAATCAGACTGCTTCGGTGTTCGGTTTTTTCAAGAGGCCAAACACGGGTCCCGAGCCATCTGGTTTCGGTTTCGTATGTTTCCCCAGTCCAAGGTGGTATTTCCGCTTGAAAATACCGACCCAATGGGATCCATTTTTTCTTGTAATTGCTAGCCAAGAAATCATCTTCAGGTTCTATCTCGCTCCGGCTGCCGGTGAATGATGATTCGTAACAATCTCGAACCTCAGATTTCCGGGAAAAAAGGATTAAACGAGTCTCTTTGGAGGAAACGAGTCTTCGGCTGCATCTCGTTGTCGATTTCGTGGCTCGATCATCATACATATCTGGATGCATCTTTAGCTTCTTCTGCCAAAATATATGGAGGTACAATTTGGTAAATGATATACAGATTCGTCGTCTTAAGCTAGACTTCGATATATCCGACAGAAAGAATTCATTTGGAAATCTAAATATTGTGAGAACCGTGAAAACCATGAGAACAGACTACTCATTAATTATTCTTGATGAATATACATAAATATTCATTAATATCATTCACCGTGAATATCATACATTTTCATTATTCACAACATTCATTGTGAATATGTATCACGACATTCATCATGAATAGTTTGGTTTTCCATTATGACTATTATTCATCATTATTATTTATCATGAATATCATGCGTTTTCATTATGAATAATATTCATTATGAATAATTCATGAATGGTTGGTTCTCACGATTTCTCGTAACAAGGGGAAAGGGGAAAGGCCATTTAGGAACTGTGAATACTTCAAGAACCTTCAGAAAGACCTGTTCATTAATTATTCATGATGAATATACATAGATATTCAAGAATATCATGCATTTTCATTACTCATGATATTCATTATGAATACTTTATGAATAGATGGTTCTTATGGTTCTCAAAGAAACCTGCCCATGGGCGACAATAACAAGAACACAAAACTTCACCCCAACTCACACGTTTAACAAACGATTAAGCTTCAACATAAGCTATCGAAACTACAAACACGATCAATAAGTTTACGGAATTCAAAAGTTACCTCCCAAATAGCATTCGAATCAACGTTAACCTTCATCTGCATCGCCTCTTTCGCCAATAAAACTTGCTTCCACACTTCCTCGCTTCCATACGCCTCCCATTTCGACATTCCCGGCACAAACCCGATTGCAGGATCACACGGATTCTTCGCAACTCTTTTCACCCAATCCAACGACATCAAATAACAATCTCTCTTCCGCTTTCGACTCAATTCTTTCTCGTCTTCAATTCCCACAAAATTCTCTTCATCTTTCATCTCAATATCCATAAGAAACCTTTCTAAATCCAATTCAAGATCCATGAAAAGATGAACCCCTTTTCCCTAAATCTTCAGATTCAAGAACTTTAGAGAACCCCCAATCTAATAACCCATAAAAACACTTCGAATCATTCGAAAACTCGAATCAACGCAAGATTCTGAAACCCGCAAAACTCTCTTCATCTTTCATCTCAATATCCATAAGAAATCTCTCTAAATCCAATTCAAGATCCATGAAAGATGAACCCCTTTTCCCTAAATCTTTATATTCAAGAACTTCAGAAAACACTTAGAAATCATTCGAAAACTCGAATCAACCCCAAGATTCTGAAACCCACAAAATTCTGTTCATCATTCATCTCAACATCCACAAGAAATCTTTCTAAATCCAATTTAAGATGAACCCCTTTTCCCTGAATCTTTATATTCTAGAACGTTAGGAAACCCCCAATCCAGTAACCCATAAAAAAACAGCTTCAGAATCAGTGGAAATACTCGAATCAACCCCAAATTTTCAGATACATTCTTTTACCACTTTTTTGCTCTCAATAATGATGAAATTTCAGTAACTCAACAAGCTTTTCAATCTTCTAGAATCTTCTAAGTATCTTGATGCAAAATGATTGAACAATTCACAGAACTTATGATCAGTTTCTTCCCATTTTTACAGAAATCCCAATTTTGCGAAGCTTTTGGTGGGATTTTAATACGATCCAATGGATACCCATCTGTTTTGATTTGACAATCCTGCCATTGATTCAAGATTTTCAAACCCTAAACACATAATCATGCAATTTATACCATATGAAACCAAAAGAAGTACATGTGATTTGATACTAAACCGTACAAAACCTTGGGAAAGAACAGAAAAAAAAGGGAATCTGAACAGAACCAGGTTATGTAAATGATTTAAGCTAACGAATAACAATTTGTGGGTTCTTTTGGCGGGAAGATGAAATTGACAAAAGGATAAAACTTGGGTTTACCTTTTCAAGATTTTTCAACAGTTTTTGACAAAACGATCAATCAATTTCCTCGATATGAGAGAGAGAGAGAGAGAGAGAGAGAGATTACCAGGGTTTTGTGGGGGCGTAGGGGGCCTTTGTCTTTTGCTTTCTTCTCTTGGCCCCTTTGGATTCTAGTTATTGAAACAAAGGGCTTCTTTTTAATTCACTCTCAAGAGTCTATAGAGACCACTTATAGTTTTAACCATGGTTTTGTTAACCAACATCATGGGTTGGGGTTGGGGTTGGGGTACCTGACCGGAAAAAGGTAAGAATTTTGAAGTTGGCTGGTATTTTTTACAAGTCGGTGATCTTTACGAAAATGGTATGAAATGGAATGTATCGCAACAGAGATGTAAGAGCAGATTGGTTGTTGTTAGACCTTCGGATTTGATGTTTGGTGTCTAATTGATTATTATAATAATTTGCCGGAAGTGAAACGGGCCAACGGATCAGACTCTTCACTTTGTCATGACGTATGGGCTTTTTCACCCAATCCGAGCTTGTTTCATGCCTCGAAACAACATTTTCGTATTAGGTCTAGTTTGGGCTTGTTTCATTTTTTTGATCCATGGGCCTTGGACATGGTTGTTCGTTTAGGTCTCATTTGGTTTGGAAGAATGAAATTGATCTGAGGGATTTTGATTTCAATCTCATGTTTGGTTTATTAGATTGCCCAGATTTGAAATGCTAGGATTTAATTCAAATCTTACAAATATAGGATTTTGAAATCCTCAAGGGGTGCTCGGGATTTTATGGTATTTTGTAGGATTGTATGCAATAAGGTTTTTAAAAATGTTAAAACCATTTGTTTGTAATAATCGATTAATAAAAAAAATGTAATTTAATTATTTTTATAATTATATATAAAAAAATTATATATTATTTATAAATAACGGAATCTAATTTCATTACAAATCCTACAAATCAATCACACCAATGATTTCAAATTTATTTTAATTCAAATCCCTCAAAAACAATCATGCAAACCAAACACACCCTTAACGGGTGTTTGGTTCACATAATGGAATTTGATGAAATCGGAATCCATCAAAGTAATCGTGGGTTTGGGGGGGGGGGGGGTGATGACAACAATAGTGGCATGGTAGGGGTGGGTTGGTGGGGTAAGGTGGGTGGTGGCGGTGACAGTAATGGTGTAGTGGGGGTTAGGAGTGGGGCTTGACGAACAATAATAGCATGGTCGTTGTGGGTGGTGATGGAATTCAATTCTTTCCCTTATGTCAATGAATGATAAATTCATTAATTTATGGAATTTGAAGGATTCTATCCATTTCCAGAAATGAACAAAATAAAGGAATTGAAATTTGGTCCAATGAATTTGTCATTCCAATTCCATCAAATTCCTTCGAATTTCGCGAACCAAACGGACTCTTAGGCCCTGTTTGTTTTTACCTAAAAAGCACTTAATACCCTCTTATGTCTGAATCGGTCAGACCTTAGGTATTAAGTGTGTTTTTTTTTTCCTTTCAATTAAGAGCTTAAAAGCTCTGATTATGTCTGAATTATTTAGAGGTAACATTTTCACTTAAAACCTCTTAATTGCTTTTAGAGCTTCCAATGCTTGCAAAGAAAGCCTAGATTTCAATGATTCAGATTTCAGATTTCAGACGTAAAAACAAACAGTCTGACTGATTCAGATTTCAGACTTTAGCACCACCTCTTAAAATTCAGAAGTGAATTCAGACTTCAGACTTAAGCATCTCTTAAAAAACAAATGTCACCTTAGACTTCAACTCTTATTCCCTTGAAGTTATCATCAGTAAACGCGTTTCGATTTTAGAGTTTAGCGCTTGTTAACCATCAATGTTTCCTTCAGTGTCAGATACGCTCTATTATTTGGGGACAGATGACATGTTTGTGTATGTCCCACTTCTCTGAGACCCTATTTTCAAGCGAGAGCGTGAGATACACCAAGTTCACCTAATTTGATTTAGTAGTTATAGTTTGAATTTCATATAGATTTAGATCTGAATTTCTTACAGTATTTGGTAACGATGAAAAATGGATCATACTCAAAACCAATAACGAACTGACATAGTAAAGAGTCGAATGAATTCACCGATCTGAAATAATCACATGAAGTATGATTTCTTAATATAATGCGATCGTACTCACCAACATTCGTCCAACCCCTTATTGGTAATTGCGTTAAATGCAATACTGATAAGAGTAAACTATCAGTTTTAAATGATACTGACTATTTTAGCAGTGTTAACCTCCAAACACATTAATTTTCAAGATATTATATGTATAAGGGTTAGTTAGCAATATTTTTTAAAAGTTTACTTCAATTTTATCTAGTCAGTATATATAGTGAAACACTACTTGGGGTAGCGTTATGATAGCTTATTGTCATTTTTTTTTTCTAATTATAATCGTCATTAACATTAATTATAAATTAATAAAACTTAAATATTAATAAATATTAAATGTTAATTAATACAAATTGAAAATTAATTATTAATTATTTTTAATTATACATTATAATAT